TCTTTCATTATTCTTTTATCCTATCGCACTGCGCACCATGGCCGTGAGGGGCCGAGACAAAGCCTGACCCCACCACCGCTGCCCCTCCTGAAGAACAGAAGGAAGAGGCTCCCGCTGCGGCCACCACGACGGAACCTGAGGGCGAAACCAAGCAGGGAGAGGCTACAGAGGCGCCCGCTGCTGAGCAGGAGACGAAGCCACCGACCGCTACTTCTGATAGTGTGTTTTCGATGTTTGGTGGGGGTCCGAAGAAGGAAAAGAAAAAAGAAGCCGAGGAAGATGAGCCGTCTGGAGCTTCGAAGAAGAAGGAAGGTGATGAGGGTGTAAGTATTTTCTTTTTACTTCCTTTTCTATTATATCATTTCAGGAGGATGGCGGATGAGACTTGTGAGGGCTTTGCGATTTTGGGGCTTATATTTTTTCTTCCGTCCATCGCCGGCTCCTGAGCATCTATATATTGTCTATCCCGGTCCTTTTTTCATACATATAGCGATCTAAAGAAAATGCTTTATGAACTAATATGGCGACTCTTATGATAGGATGTCGAAGCCGAGCCAGACGTCCATTTCGAACCTGTCTTCAAGCTCACTGAACAAGTGGAGACCAAGACCAACGAGGAGCTCGAAGAACAGGTTTTCAAGATGCGTGCAAAGCTTTTCAAGTTTGATCGTGAGACCAGAGAATGGAAGGAGCGTGGAACCGGCGATGTGAGACTGTTGAAGCACAAAGAGAACCAGAAGACTCGCCTGGTTATGCGAAGAGACAAAACGCACAAAGTTTGCGCGAACCACTACAGTATGATGCACTGTCCTAGCTGTGTATATAGGGCATTACTGACGAAATGGTCGCTAGTTGTTCCTGACATGAAGTTGTCCCCCAATGTCGGTAGTGATCGAAGCTGGGTGTGGAATGCTGCTGCAGATGTCAGCGAAGGTGAACCCGAGGCGCAGACGTTGGCTATTCGCTTTGCCAACAGCGAAAGTGAGTCAACGCATATCCGGAAAACAGAGTATTTTATGGCCAAGGCTAATTACTTGCATGTGCAGACGCCCAGCTCTTCAAGGAGGCTTTCGACAAGGCTCGCTCAGAAAACGAAAAGCTTTTCGGCCAACAGTAAAAAGAAAAAAAAGTGTAAAAAAAAATATGCCGAAGCCGGCCGCGAAAGTGTCAATATGTCACGGCGAAACCCACGGAGATCAGCCATTTCCCCCCAGCGATTCGTCCTGATTTGCTCCATTCTTACCCTGCGTCTAGGCTTATCAAAGGAAACCATTCCGATGCACATACCCAGGCTTCTTTTTTGAGTTCTTTCCCGCCGCGACCACTAAGCACTGTGGCTATGTTTTGTTAATCCCATTTGACTCCAAAATGAGAGGCTCGGCCCGATGGCGACTACATGATCAGCACTGGGAGCAGCTTTCGCTTTCTGGGGCATCGGCCTTCATTTGCGAAGGGAAAATCAATAGTACATAGAGCAATCAGTTGATAGCACCCCAATATCGAGTGAATTTTGACCAGTTGTGAATTTATTCCAGTGTATTTTGTAGTAGTTAGTTAATTGTTTCAATCCATTGCTGTTCCGGCGGCAGGTTGAAGTTAGCTTTGGGATTGGGTGCTGATTACCTCCCATCCCAACTACTGCACACAACTTCCCGCTCCCAGACAATGACTCTGCTCACTGAGAAT